TGGCCTTCTCGAACTTCTCCATCGGTGGAAGGGCGATGCCCTGAACCGTATTGAAACGGTTCCCCAGAAAAACAAAATCCTGAGATGGGGAAACCTCCGACTTTTCTCTGGAAGGAATGAAGCCTACCTTGAATGAGACTCTCAGAACCAACCGGGTGTCCTGCACCAGAGACTCTCTCACTAGGTGGAGCATGAGGGAATCGTCGAAATAGATGTGAACATCTATTCCTCGAGAGTGCAGGAATCCCACGACCACCTGCAGCAGCTTGGTGAAAACCAAAGGAGCAGTCGTGAGCCCGAACGGCATGGCATGACCTTTCCGTTGCACGTAAATCTTTCCGTTGCACGTAAAACGGAGGTACTTCCGTGCCGACTTTTTGATGGGGATGTGGAAGTAGACGTCCTTCAGATCTACTGAAGTCGCCTACATTCCCTCTCTCACGGAGACGATAATACCCCGAGGAGTCTCCATCTTGAAGTGAGGAGAATCTACGTGCTTGTTGAAGGCACTTAGATCTATAATGGGACACCATGCCCCGGACTTCTTCCGAACCAGAAACATTCTGGAGTAGAACCCGGGACCTCATCGACCGCGCCCTTGGTAAGCATGGTCCTTACTTCCTCCTGGAGCGCCAGAGCCTTTTTCGGATCCCCCGGTGGAGGAAAAAATATTGGCTCTGACGCTAAGGGCAGATCCCGCACTAGTGGAATGCCTAACCCCTCCTTGACCACAGACAAGGCCCATGCGTCTTCCGTAATTTCCTTCCACTCTGGAAGGAAAGCGGAAAGAGAACCGTCTGCTGACTCGAATCCTAATCCTTCGGGAGAGGGACATAAGCTTGAGTGGAGAAGACTGCAGTCCCCCCGGCCAAGCTCATCGTCTAACACGACCAAGGAGGGAAATGGAGAGTCAGGAACCCTTCTTCTTACCCCCAGGAGTGTTCTAACCCTCCTTTCTTTCCTTTCTTGCCCTTGAAGGGAGGCTTATACTTGGGCTGCGCAGAAGACTGCGAAGCCGCAGGTTTATCCTTCTTCTTAGGAGGCGCTAACCCCTGTGAGGTACTGGCCTTCTCAACCTGAATCATTTTCACCAGAAGTGCAGTGGCGACCGAGTCCTCCTTCAAATACTTCTGAACATAGGGAAGGGCCCCTACGAAAAAGAGTGGACCCCGATAATTAGGCAGTCAACAAGCGGGAGCGGTAAGGTTCATCGACTGGGCGTTTTTTTACAAACCTGAAAACCGCCTAGCCAACAAGACATTGACGAGCAATGACACATGTTAAGCTGCCAGCGCTCCAAATTCCCCGTTCAGGGCAGATGTCACTCTGTCCTGGATGTCGGCCTGCTCTGTCTCGGTAATCCGACCACCAGGCAAGTCGGATACCATATATAGACAAACAGTCAGGTAGTCTATAGAAGACAGAATATGGATGTAGAGACGCAGCAGTCGTCTCTCCATCTTGTGGTGTTCTATGGAGTCGAACAACAACTGGTCCACCGATGTATCGGGCCAGGCTGCAAGTTCTCTCGATTCCAGCTTAACTGTTTGAGGGGCAAGCAGGCCATCATGTGTGGCATAGTCAGCTGCAACCCAGCATATCATGGACTAGCAGGCAGCAGGCGCCATAAAAGGAAGAGGAAGGGAGATCACTCCGTGGCTCTGTCGTCGAGATAAGGGTTACGTCACGGTAGGGAGGTAGGGGTATTTGAATCTTTTGTTTTTGGGCTACAAAGATGATTGTAGGTTTGTTTATGCATACTAAAGTTACAGTAATTATTACTGAAATGAAAGACGCTTTTACGGAGGACCCCAATAGGGTAATAACTATAATAAATGGTTAAAATTCCTTAAGTAGCTTTACTGCATTCTAGGATAAATAAAAGAGTGTAATTATTTTTACCATTCTTCTTCGTCTTGGTTATTGACTTACCATAATGTCGATGGTAAAGCTGTATCAGGAGTCCGGTGTTTGCCTGCAAAGTTGAAAATCATGATACTATTATGAATCCTTTAAATCCTCGTATCAAAATGTCAAAATATCATCATCAGGAACAAGTTAGAAGTCAGCATGAAACTGCCTATCAATAATAAGACTGTGAGAGGTAAAGGTTTTTTTTGAAAACTTAAATATAACAAATTTATTTTGGAAAGAAGTCCTAAATACATGGATAAAAGTGTCAAAGCTAAATAAATTAGGAACCAAAACTGACACTCTTATGGTACAATTTTAATTTTTGGATAGGGAATTAATACATTTATTTTGAAGACTGGCATAAGAAAGGTGTAAATACAGAAGTGGACATAATGAAAGGAGATGGAACATTTCTAAATTTTGAAGAATTCAAAGACAAGTTTTCTGTAACATCGAATCATTTCTGAAGTTACCAGAGTCTCTGTACATCCATTAAATCTGTGATTAAAAATGTAAGATATATCTGAGTAACACTACTACTGTTAGACCTTATTTACCTTTTCAAACTCAAATTATATTTAAAAGTAAAAAGGGCAGTGCAGATTTTTATTATACACGTACAGAGCAAAACCACAAAAACATAGTCAATGCATCAGAAATTAAATGCAAAACAAATCCTATTTTCCAATATTTGAAAGGAATACAATTCATTTACTACCCTTTAAGACTACCAATATACAAAACTACAATGGTTCCTGTATAAAATTTAAAATCAAATTCTACCAGTAAATAAATATTTGAAAAAGATTGGCATAACAAATAATGACAAGTGTAACCTATGCAAAAATAATGTAGAAGATTTAAAACATATGTTTTGGGAATGTAATGAAGCTCAGGTCATTTGGACCAAACTAGAAGAATCGATAAAACAAAAAACAAATAAAACAGTAGTTTTTTATTTGAAAATGATATTGTTTGGACAACAACTAACATTGTCACATCACAACCTCCCAACTTCTTTATTTTACTTATAAAATACTTTATTTTGTGTGCATCATAAAGACAAGACAGAGTTAACTTCAACCGGTTAAAAGAATTTATTGCACAAAGATATACAATCGAAAACGTTGTTCACATAAATACATGTAAACAAATTAAATGTTTTCAAATATGGGAAGAGTGGGAAAATGTATTTACATAAAAAACATTAATAAATTACAACCTATCCATATGACATAAAGATGTAACTATTCTAAAATAAGAATTCTTACTTGTTTATGTAGTAAAGCTTCCCCCTACATTTGTATAGCAGATTGATTTATAGATTATATGACTATATATATCCATATATGTTTATACATGTAATGCAATTGAAAACATATATAAAGGGTGAAGAAGTGTTACAATAAAAACAAGTTTATTTTAAAGGGTTTTACTTGTATACTATGGATACATGTTTATACACATTTCATATCCTGATATTAAAAAAATAGCTGGCTAATATACAATATGTATCTATACAATTTTTATACTTAGTTCAATTGAAGTTCACTTAATTAACAATGTCGATAGAAATTATTATTAAGTCAATATATGTATGGATATATATATAGCCTTGTAATATTTTGTCTTTGTGGTGTGATGTAAATGTATACATTATGTGATGTTTAGTTATAAGTAATGATTGGTTAAAAAAACCTTCTCAGATACTAAACTCCAGAACTCATCCCAAGCAAGGAAAACAAAATCAAGGATGTGACTCCTGTGAGAGGATATGTTTACATGATGTATATATATATTCATATGATATTGTACATGATGTATCTGTGAAGACAAAAATAAAAAAATAAGTAATAATAATATTAAGACATTTTCGGTAATATATTTGCAATCATAACAGCTCATTTGTTTTTGCTTAGCCTTTTTTCCTGACGCAATAAATCGAACGTTTTTTCTTCAAAAAATATTTTTCAATTGGTTATGTATCTAATCCATGCATTTTCGTTACCAGAAATAATTTACTCATTATTTGTTTTTTCCCTTTATGGGCAGTCATCCGCCAAAGCTCTTTGACATTCTTATCAACGTGGTCCTGTAAAAAGTATAACGTGTACAATAAAGGTACTGTAAGGTTCCCCCAAAACGACAATGTCCACATACAAGGACAAAAGCACTTAACGAAAACAAAATATCTCACCGTCAACACCCAACACTACACAAGGACACAATATGCGATAACGTAAGCACACCACCACATAATATATCACAGTGTTTACAAACGTTTGCTTACACGTGGTTATATAAAAGTTCATAAAGGATTGAAGAGTTATAAATATAATCTTGATAACTTCAATTTTATATATAAATTCTGTTCTATGCTACTAATTCATACCGAAAACCAGTAGTATCATATATATATAAACCTTCGATATATACCTTACCTTTATGTATGATGTTCCAAATTTCCTGTCCACGGCTCTCCACTAACTTACACACCTTGGGGTTTATATTCCTGAGTACAGAAACGAGTCTGTCATATCGTCCATAATCTATAACAGTATATCTCATAAGCTGGTCGAACAGTTCAAAAATATTACGAATTCTATGAATGTCGGCTTGGACTACTGGATCTCGACTGAATCTATTTGTAAGTCGCTCTAATTCATTTTTCCTTAATTCTGTACTAAGAAGGTCCACCATTGTGTTGTGTTTAGATATTGCCTCTTGTGGAATATCAAAGACCGCTTCTTGTTCGAAAGTCATGATCTTAATGTCTCTTTTCACACCTGAAACACAAAGTATGGTAAATATGTACTGTTTTTGTTTGTTTGCAAAATCTAGATGCGTTTCAGGTAAAACAAAAAGAGAAGACATTTTAAAGTTTGATTGTTTTTTGTTTTTGTTGTGGCTTTTAACTCTGTGCTCCCTTTGAACAGAGCACCTAAATTACGCTAAATCTTCAAAAGACTTGTATAATTAAACCACGTATTATAAAAAAAGTAAGAATCAGCTTTAAGGGAAATTTCTTTCAAACAGTTTTAAAGATCAAGAAAAAAAATAAAAAATACTTATTTCAGCAGATGTTCGATGTTGGGGCCATTTTGGGTAGGATCGCTGTATTATACACATTTGCTCTAGTACTTAATGCTGAGTGTGGTACCTAGTGTTGATTGTGGCACCTAGTGTTGATTGTGGTACCTAGTGTACCTAGTGTTGATTGTGGTACCTAGTGTTGATTGTGGTACCTAGTGTTAATTGCGGTACCTGGTGTTAATTGTGATACCTAGTGTTGATAGCGGTACCTAGTGTTGATTATGGTACCTAGTATTAATTATGACACCTAGTTGTACCCAGTGTTGTGTGTAGTACCTAGTGTTGATTGTGGTACCAAGTGTTGATTGTGGTACCTAGTGTTGATTGTGGTACCTAGTGTTGATTGTGGGACCTAGTGTTAATTGCGGTACCTGGTGTTAATTGTGATACCTAGTGTTGATAGCGGTACCTAGTGTTGATTATGGTACCTAGTATTAATTATGACACCTAGTTGTACCCAGTGTTGTGTGTAGTACCTAGTGTTGATTGTGGTACCTAGTGTTGATTGTGGTACCAAGTGTTGATTGTGATACCTAGTGTTGATTGTGGTACATAGTGTTGATTGTGGTACCTAGTGTTTATTGTGATACCTAGTGTTCATTGTGATACCTAGTATTGAGTGTGGTACTTAGTGTTGATTGTGTTTCCTAGTGTTGATTTTGGTACATTGTGTTGATTGTGATACCTAGAGTTGATTTTGGTCTTTAGTGTTGATTGTGGTACCTTGTGTTGATTGCGGTACCTAGTGTTAATTGTGGTACCTAGTGTTAATTGTGGTACCTAGTGTTGATTGTAGTACCTAGTGTTGATTGTGATACCTATGTTGATTTTGGTCCTAAGTGTTGAATGTGGTACCTTGTGTTGATTGCGGTACCTAGTGTTAATTGTGGTACCTAGTGTTGATTTTGGTTCTGGTGTTGATTGTGGTACCTAGTGTTGATTGTGGGACTTAGTGTTGATTTTGGTACCTAGTGTTGATTGTGGTACCTAATGTTGATTGTGATACCTTATTGTACCTAGTGTTAAATGCAATACCTAGTGTTGATTGTGATACCTAGTGTTTATTGTGATACATAGTGTTGATTATGGTACCTAGTGTTGATTGTGGTACCTAGCGTTGATTGTGATACCTAGAGTTGATTTTGGTCCTTAGTGTTGATTGTGGTACCTTATGTTGATTCTGGTACCTAGTGTTGATTGTGATACCTAGAGTTGATTTTGGTCCTTAGTGTTGATTGTGGTACCTTGTGTTGATTGCGGTACCTAGTGTTGATTGTGGTACCTAGTGTTGATTGTGGTTCTGGTGTTGATCGTGGTACCTAGTGTTGATTGTGGTACCTAGTGTTGATTGTGGTAACTGGTGTTGATTGCGGTACCTAGTGTTGATTGTGGTACCTAGTGTTGATTGTGGTACTTAGTGTTGATTGTGGTACCTAGTGTAGATTTTGTTACCAAGTGTTAATTGTGGTACCTTGTGTTGCTTGTGGAACCTAGTGTTGAGTGTAGTACCTAGTGTTGATTGTGATACCTAGTGTTGATTGTGGTATCTT